CGTGCATATTATATACTATTATTATCCTATTCATATGAAAATGGAACCAATTGAAAACCAAGTTTAAGTATTACCTTACTATTTTTATATTCACAATAAAAATTTATTAATTGGATTTGGAAAAAAATAAAATTTAAAAAATTAAAAAAAAAAAAAAAAATGAAAAAATAAAAATAAAAAAATTAAAAAAATTAAAAAAAATTTATTAATAAATAATTACAATTGTGTGTTACAATGAATAAATAATAATAATAATAACAATAATAACAATAATATTTAAAAAATGAATAACCTCAATAAAAACAATGATATTGATATAAATATTGATAGTAGTAGTAATAATACCAATAATAGCAGTAATAATGATTATAATTATAAAGAATTAAAAAAAATAAAAGAAAATAATAAATTCGATTGGGTGTTATTTAAAAGATTTTTAAAGATTATAAAAATTATTTATTTAAAGCCAACCATACCCATTGTATTATTGGTAATTTTATTTGGGTTAGCAGTGGGTTCAACTTATTTATCCAAATATACAGGCATTGTTTTGGCAAATATATATGGATCTTTTTCAACGGGCAATAAAGAGCTATTCCTAAAGTCACTATTTACGGGTATAGGTGCTATAGGTTCATCGGCTTTATTGGATGCCATCATTAAGTTTATAGTCAGTATAATGGCTTGGCGTTGGAGAAAAGTGTTATGTTTGTATATGCAATCGATATATTTTAAAAAATCTCTCTTTTACAAGATAATTGCATTTAATGACAAGATTGACAACCCCGATCAACGTATTACATCAGATATAGATAATTTTACAACCCTATTAGCAACTATTGTATCACAATGCATTACAAGTCCAATGATAGTAATATACTACACCTATTTAACATTCACTACAATCAATTGGTATGCACCGTTAATAGTATATGGTTACTTTTTTTTAGGTTACTTTTTAAACAAGCTCGTAATGTCTCCAATGGTTAGCATTAATTATTTACAAGATAAACTAGAGGGTGATTTTAGATATCTACATCAAAGAATTAGAAACTTTGCTGAATCAATTGCACTACAAGGCATTTTAAAAGAAAATTTCAATGTTTCACAAGAAAACAATATAAACAGTTATAACAATAATAACAATACTAGTAATATAGATTATGATAAAGAATATTTAATAAATAACAATAATAACAGTTTAAAAAATAGAAAAAATAAAAAACAAAATAATTATAATAATAACAAAAATGATATTAATAAAAAATACTTTAATATTGATGGTGAAAAAAATGAAAAAGACTTGGTTGAAGAGGGGCAAGCAAAAGAACAATTTGATAATTTATTAAGAAATAAAAAAAGAGTAATATGTTGGCAATTTGGTTTAAATAGTAAGTAATAGTAGAACCTATCATCATTTTTTATTTTATTAATAATTTTTATTTTTTTTATTTTAAAAGCAACATCAGATTTATTTTCATACCTAAGTCCACTAGTAAACTATTTTATTATTTCACTACCTGTATTCTTTTTAAACACAAAGTCAACTTTACTACCTGCCGAAGTTACTGTTGTAAGTTTAATACTAAATAAAATTAATAAAAATAACAATAATATCATCTAATACTTTTTTTCAAAGCAATCATATAACTGTATTATGTTAGCAAGCGGTTTTAGTCAATATATTTCAGTATCAACAAATATTTCCGATTTATCAGGATATGTTTCGCGTATATCAACAATGATTGAAATTTGCTTCAATATATTAAATGACAAATCTTTGGAAACTGATTTAGTTTCTAGCAGTATCAACAATACAAGTGTATCATCATCATCTATACCACTAGAAAGTAGTAACAATTTTAGTATTAATCATTCCGACAATGATATTAATCAAAGAAAAATTATAATTAACAATGGTGAAAATATTAAATTGGATTACCTTAGCTATTATTCACCAAAAGGAAATAAATTATTCTCTAGTATGTGACATACCATCATTTATAATAAACCAATCAACATACTAATTTTATCATTATATATATTATATAGATATATCATTAATTATTGAAAAAAATCAAAATTTATTAATTATGGGACCAAGTGGGTGTGGCAAATCGTCGTTAATAAGAATCATCAATGGATTGTGGCCATTTTTTACAGGTACTATTGATAAACCCAATAACGATAAAATATTCTTTTTACCACAACAACCCTATTTAATTTTTGGTAGTTTGGAAAGTCAAATACTGTACCCATTTTCAAAGAGTGATTCAAAAAGAATAAATGAAAAAGAAATGAGAAGAATGTTTTCACAGTTTGAATTAGAATATTTATTGGACCGTGAGATGGAAATTAAAAACAATCAAAATATTATTAATGATTTAACACACAATTGGCTCAATCAATTATCAAATGGTGAACAACAACTAATTTCAATTATTAGATTATTTTACCACAGACCACAATTTGCCCTACTAGATGAAAGTACTTCAAGTATACCCCAAAATGTAGAAGAAAAGGTTTATCAAATTGCAAAACAATTAAACATCACAACTATAAGTGTAGGCCATCGTTTATCATTATTAAACTACCATTCACATTTATTAAAATTTAATAAAAACAAAAACTGGTCAATTGAAAAAATAAATAATGATAATCATGACAATAATCAAAATAATAATAATATTTATGACTAATAAAAAAATAAAATATCAATTTAGTGTTTTGATCAAAAATAAAAAAATTTTTTAAAAATAAAATTTATTAAAAAAAAATTTTATTTTTTTTTATTTTTTTTTTTTTTTAGTTTTTTTTTTTTTTCTTTTTTTTCGAATTTATCATTGTCATATTTTATTATTTTTTTTTTTGTAAATAATTATACACATTCATCATTTTTTAAAATAAAATGGTTTTTAAAAAGATTTTAGGTTATTTAACCCCAAAGATGGGTAACAAAAACTATTATAAAGGTAGAGGTGTTCGTGGTGTCGGTCACTCCTCATCAATTGGTAGATTCATTGTCGATCCAAAGAAAACTTTAAATATTTATGTACCAGAAAATTATCAATTAGAAACCCCATCAGGTGTATGAATCAATTAATTTATTAATAGAGGTTAATAGTTTTGATAATCATTAATAATTTTACCACCTTAATAATATAATTAATAACTATAAATAGGAAATAGGAACTAAGACCTATAAATAATAAACAACAACAATAAACAATAGCAATAGCAATAGAAATAGCAATAACAATAACAATAACAATGACAATAAATAATTAATAAAAAAAATACAATATGATTATTAATTTATATTTTTTAAATTATAGTTAAAACCATACGTTTCACGTAATGCTTTCCAATTAACCAAAGAACAAGTTCAAGAAAATAGAGAAAAGAAACATCAAAGAAGAGTCGATACTTTAATGAAAACACAAAAGAATTAAAAAAATATAATATAAATAATATAAAAAAAAAATAAAATAAAATAAAAAAAATTTAAAAAATATTATTTAGTTTTAGAATGTTATTTTAGAAAAAAAAATAAGGAAAAAAGAAAAGTAGATAATTAGAAGTTTTAATATAGAAAATGCGAAATATAGATTTTTATTTTAGAGTTTTTAAAAAAATAATAAATTTATATTATTTTTATTTGTTTTTTTATTTTTTAAAATAATTTAATTTATATTTAAATAATAATTTATTCTATTTATTTTTATTATTATTACTATTATTATTATTATATATTGTTATGTCGTCGATTATTAATAATTATTTATTAATTTGAACACTTTTTAATGCTAATAACCATTCATCCATTGATTTTGAAGAATCACAGCATAAATTCCAGGTTCTTTTTGGGGTTATAATATCCATACCAAAATATTGTGTATTATCTTCTTTAATATTAACATTATTATTTATATTTACATTGCAAGTATTTGGTTTAATTGCAACAACTAACGAGGTGTATAAATCAATTGAGCCTTTATATCTTAAATTTTCAAATGATGTATTTTCATAAAGATTTGATGTCGATGATGATGAGTTTGATGATAAACTTATACTATTTGTATTGTTTATACTATTATTTATATTATTATTATTATTATTATTTGGGTTATTTATATTTATATTATTTGTGCTACCCGATAAATGAGGATTACTGTTTATAGGTGATGAAATATTATTTACAATGATTTGATCGTTTTTACCATTACCATTACAATTATTATTATTTCCATTATTACCATTATTTACGCTATGGTGTGATTTATCTTTATAGTATCTCAATGTTTTTTTCATATCCAATATAAAATATCTTTTTTTCCATGATTTATTTTTAGTGCCTCTTTTTTTCATCCAACCTTGTTTTATTATACCACCTGTTGGTATATTATCATAAAGTGGTTCCTGTTTATTGTTGTTGTTTATATTATTATTATTATTATTATTATTATTATTTTGTTGACTATTTAGTTGGTTATTTAATAATTCTTTATTAACAATTGGTATACTGTTACCAGATAATGAAACTGATGGTCCATTTTGTGGTCTTTTAACTGCTTTAGTCCATGAGGTTGGTGATGATACTGATGGTAAAATACCAGAGGTTGGTGTGGATGAAAGTGGTGGTGATGATGATGGATCTATTAAACTATTATTATTATTGATCGGAATATTATTTACATTACTATTTAATAAATCATCGTGACTAAAATTTTTAACAATATCACTATTATTATTGTTATTATTGATACTACTATTATTATTTATTGATAGTAATGTTGGTGAAGAGGGTGAAGAAGAGTTTGAAGTTGAGGCAGACATTGAGTTGGGTGTGGTTGATAATGGAATGGTAACTACTTTATTGGTTGTACTAATTAAAATTGGAGCAGAAATAAATGTTGAGGAATTATGATCGAATACGATGTTATTTGAAAATGGATTATTTTTAAATCTTTTTCTTCGCTTATACTTTAT